AACATCGGTAACCAAACTTTTGTTGCATTAAAACTGCAATAAACATTTGTTTGAAAACGATCACTCCAATGAGCACGTCGTTATTGGGCTTTCTCATTGAAAGGTAGGTCGCGGGTGTCCCAGCTAGTTATTCTGAATGGTTTGGTGGTTGTCTAGCATTTCAAGCGCTCGAGGCTCTGTGTACTGTGTGCCGTACGTACTCTTGAGCTTTCGATCAATGTGAATGTGTTTGCAACGCGGAACGTTTGTGTTCTGTGTGTATCCACCTCCGATATCGTTCTCTTTCGTATTGCCGTATGGTAACTCCTGCTGTTCTACGATATCATTCACGCGATGTCGCATATGTGGGCGTACCGATATCCACATGTTGCTTCACGGGCGATCAATACTGTGTTACGTATCCTCTTAGTCCGCGGTATATGCCGACGTAATTCATGTTGGTAACTTGGAATTCGTTCTGAGATTTATCCACGCGATATTGTATTCTCCTTTGGGCCCGTGATCGACGACCGATATTTATATATCGTGTGGCCGCACAGTATGTTCATGTCGGTCACCAATATGCACGCGGTGTCGTATTCTATTCCAATAACCGTAAGTTCTGTCGGGATATTGTGCTTCGATATCGTGTTGTATACCAATAACCGCAAGTTATATCGGGATATTGTGCTCCAATATCCTGTTGTGTACCAATAACCACATACTATATCGGGATATTGTGCTCCGATATGAATTCCCATCGTGCGTATTGGGTTAATCGGATAACAATAAGTTTTTATTGGTTTCCATCAACTTCATTGGAATACAATATTTCCAATAAGCCGAGTTCATATTGGCCTTTTTCAATAGGGTATTGACGTCTCATTTTACGTCAGGCCTTTCATTTTAAAACTCCCTATGAATGACATGGCTAAAATTCGTTTGGGTGTACTTCCTCCCAGCAAGTATATGGTTCTGTCTCAAAAGGTCTAATCTGATGTTGACTGCACCTCAGGTCTCCACCGACGATTCATCAGGACGAGACCCAACCGGGACACTAGGGAGGAGCGGCTTAAGCAAGGGAGGCTACATATACGACAGCTTCTTGCGGACAAGAAACGAAAATAGATAGATGGTGAGTGTTTCAATTGCTAAGCCTTTTGGCATGCACATTCTGTTTGTTATGATTGAAGATTCCTGCAGAGTTCAATTTCAACTATTGTTAAATACCGAGCATGCGCTCAGATCGCAGAAGCGCCTACCCTCTGATTCGAAACGATCCGCAACTAATCAAAGGGCCTACCAGACACCCATCCACCTGTTTTCAGCAATGCTCAAAATATTAAAAGAGCACATCAAGCGCCAGGTGCTTCGGCGTCTTTGCCACAATGGCGCCAGTTGCAGAGCTGACAGACCTGTGACTGGCACAAGCCATGGCATGGCCTTTGGGAACCAGGGAATCGAGATTAAAGAAGTAGCGCAGAAATTGAAGGCGGGTGGTGAAGGTGAGCAGAGTTAATGGAATACAAGGATGAAGGGGGTCCGTCGCATGAGGCATCTATGTCCCGTGCATGTAATTTGAATGTGCTGTAGGCAGCTACTCGAAAAAAATTGTTACTTGTACGTAACTAATCAAAAATCTCTCTTGCAGTTTCCACGGCCCACAAGCCAGCAGGTGCCAGTTCGCTCTCGTTCAAAGTTGAGGATTCCAGATTTTCTAGTTTGCTCTGAAGCAGCAATACTGAAGCCAAACAAGCGGTACGGCATATTTAATTCACGGAACTTAGAACGACTGGGGACGCTTTCACTGAAGCTTGTTTTGCTGCACTACACGCGTGTATTGTAGCAAAACAAGCTTCAGTGAAATCGTCCCCAGTCGTTCTGAGCTCCGTCAATTAAATATGCCGTATCGCTTGTCTGTCTGGCTTCAGTGTTGCTGTAGGCGACAAAACATGTGCCAAGTTTTGTCACAAGAGGCATATTATGTCACGCACATGTAATTTTGATTTTATCTGGCTTAGTGTGCTGTAGGTGGCTGGTCAAAGAAATTGGTACTTGGACGCAGCTAATCGCAAATTTTTCTGACAGTTTCCAAGGCTTAAGAGCCAGCAGGTCCCAGTTTGCTTCTCCTCAGAGGTGAGAATTCCAGATTCCCGAAGCAGGAATACTGAAGCCAGACGACCGGTACAGCATTTTTAATTGACAGAGCTCAGAACGACTGGGGGCTCGTGCATTGAAGCTTATTTTTCTGTAATACACGCGAGCGACATTGACGTATGCCCAGTTACGTTGCAAGAGGTTATCTATGTCCTGCGCATGTAATTGTTTTAATCTTTTCGACTTAGTGTACTTTACGGGGCTACTCAATGTAATTGCTACTTGAACGCAACTAATCCCAAATCTCTCTTCCAGTTTCCATGGCCTACAAGCAAGCAAGCACCAGTTTGTTTTTCCTCAAAGGTGAGCATTCCAGATACTTTAGTTAGGTGCAAAGCAGGAACTGTGAAGCCAGACGAGCCCATAGGTCTATTTAATTGACGGAGCTCAGAATGATCCGTGGCAGTGGAATGGAAGCTTATTTTTCCACAATTAAACGCAGACATCATTTTGTATCTATCCGGCTTAGTGAAGGATTGCTACTTGTTGCGAACTAATCACAAATTTTTATTTTGCAGTTTCTATATGGCTACAGCTAGCAGGTGCTGCTTTCATTAAAAGGTGAGGATTTCACATTCTGTTTTCAAACAGCAAGTTTTTGAATGAGGGTCCTAAACAATTAACTTTCTTTTGCAGTAAATGCCAGATCCTTCAGTTCAGGAATATGTTAAATATATTTCGTATGGATAAGCCCAGTGTTTTGCTTCTTTATTCATAATTTGACAACAACAACACTTTTTATTTTATCACTCAGAAATACACACAAGAAGAGACTGCGTTGCAAAGAAATGTCATGCTGAACGTGATATTACAGCTCGCATATAGTTTTATTGGTAGCCGATATAAAATATTGGATTCCAATATCCATAATACGCTGAGTATATTGGAATCGTAAACCCTTATTGGATCCCCATACGACACATGGGGATCCAATAAGGGTTTATACGGTATTGGATTCCAATATTTTCAGCGTATTATGGATATTGGAATCCCATAACAAATCCTTATTGTAATACAATACAATAAATGTAATGTTTTCCAATACACTGTCTATATTGTATAGCAATACAATAAAAATGTATTGTTTACCAATATCCATAATACGCTGTTTATATTGGGGTTTTCCAATAGGGTTGGTTTGGCGTTTTGTAATGTGCCCCCAATGAAAGTCTACCTAATCCGCGCTGTTTTATTTCTAGTCTTGCATCCACTTCGGATTTCATGCATAGCACTGCGTTTCCAAAAGTCAAGCCAGGCACCATGACCCCTTTTCAAATCTCTCTCACCACCTCATACCTGTTGTAATTCCAAAGTGCTCTATTTTTCATTACAGCTGCATTTCTGTTGCCCTTACCTATTATATACTTTTCATGCTCACTGAGATATTCTGCACCATCACATGTCCATACTCCTACCCAGGCAGCACACCATTGTTGGACCCCCGTTGGCCCAATGTTGGCAAAAAATGGTTCCTATATTGGTCTGACGTTGGCATTTTCGAAAACGCTACCCGATCCAATGGTGGTCCAACATTGATGCCGATGTTGGACCACTGGTTTCCAACGTTCTAGCCCACGTTGGACCAACGTGGTTTCCGCTTTTTTATCCAATATTGGCATAGAAGTTTCACCGTTGGCTGAACCAACATTGGCATTCAACGCCTTACGCACTGGCTCTTCCAACATTGGCTTAAATATCGGCTATTCCAATATTGGCATCCAGTTTAATACACTGGCAAAGTTTTGCATCCATTGTCTATGACATTATTAGATGCTATTTTTCAGCCAGTGTTCTAACCAGTGTCACAAAAACAGTGCCGAGAACCGAGCAAGTATCTTTCCCTTTTTCCTGAAGCACCGTTTTCTTTCTCATACTAAAATCTAATAAATGCGGCAATTTGGCCATATTTGGGCACATTAGAAATCATTAAAGCATGCAAATGAATTGTTCATAACGTTTGACAGTTCACAATTTATTTAGATCGAATAAATATATTTAAAACATTGTGCAGCCACGGGGGCCTGGTCAGACTCGGTGGCAGGGTCGGCTACAGGCTCGGTAGTGGACAGGGCAGAGGGCTGGGCGAGAAAGGGGATACCACACAGGGGCATGACCACAGGATTCTGAAAGAGACAGAAGCGGGGATTGGATTCAGGTGAAGGGTTTCAGAGGCTCTCAGTTCTCTTACGCCTGTCAATAATGAATATCAAAATAAAACATATATATATATACCAGTGTTGTGGAGTTGCCACTCCGGAGTTGGAATGATTCCGGAATCATTCCGTATTTTCACGACCCCAGAATGGAATGGCAATGGAATGGCGGCAACGTTGAGGGGAATGGAGTGGGAATGGAATTAGGTGCCTTTTGCGCGGAATGGAATGGGAATGGAATGGGCACGGTTCTTTTTTTTTTTTCTTACTCTTTACGGTTAGCTAAACCGAGCGAGTCAGCGAGTCAGTCGCTCAGAAATAAAATGAGCGGGAAACTTCCAGCCCGCGTGGAGCCCTAAGAGACTTATACGCCAAAAAATGCGACACAAAAAACAAGCGTCAAAGCAAAGGGCAAAGGGGGAAAGGGGGGTAGCGTGGCGCCTTTCACGGACGCGCAGGCGTCGGGCTTCGATGGCGTTACAGGAGAGCGAAACGAGAAACCAAGCACCAAGCAAAAGGAAAGGGAGCGGCAAAGAAAGAAACCGCCATGCACAACTCCTCATCGTCCTTCTTGTCCAGCTTTTTTTGTTGTTGTTGTTGCGACGGTTTGTAGAATGCACGCTGTTGTGACTCGGGACTTGTCCATGTAGTCGATCTCCGCTGGAGCCATGCGTCGCCCAGGACATCGGGCAGAGTTGGTAGCGAGCCAGGGTGTCTCTTCTCAAACTGTTTATTTACATTCTATATACAGTCTGCCGTACGGCATGAGAACAACGTGAGAACACACCGAGAGCGCGTAAAACCGATCTTTTTATAAGGTACCCCTTCCCTACGTCTCTAGGCCAGGACGCCGCTCCCCAACTGGTCAGGCCCCGCCCACTTGCACGCACAAGCGCACAGCGTAGTAGCGGCCGGACATCACATCCCGGCGCTGAGTCACTCCCGCCCTCGAATGCCGCGCCGAGGAGGCGACAACAAAGGGTCCACTCTCCGCCTGGGAGACGACACTGGCCGAGGTGGTGCCGATCTCTCCATTAGGCGGCTTTGTGGCACGAAAAGGGTTGGGCCGGAACAACCGCAAGTGGCGTCCGAAGATGATCCGTGCTGAACACACCCTCACGGAGGTCCCGCAGCTGGCGCACCGTCATCCGGAATCTTCGCACAATAATCCCCGGTTCCTGCGTCGGGTGACCCTGTTTCGGGCCAGTGTAATCCCCGCCAGAAGTAAGGGTCCGGCCCAGCTTCGCGCCTAGGTGTGGCGGCATCAACACGGTGGTCCTCCGTCGAAAGCCATCCCTTTGTCGCCGCTCGCTTCGTTTCCGGGCTCAATCTCAACTGACCGGAACCATATGGCGACGATTCTCAAGGGGGTTCCCCAGTGCCGGGTGGTTTAGATCGAGAGGGTCTGGTCCGGGGGCCATTCATAGCAGCTCCTCCGCCGCCAGGTAGTGGACTCGAAGGGGTTGCAGTCACCGCTGCTCTCCGAAGAGTCCAGGAAGTTCCGCTTCCTCCGTAGACTTTTTTGGCGAACGAAGAACTGCCCCGTTTGGAGCAGACTTGGGTGAAGACCTGTCGAAGGCATAACAGAACCCGCAAAAAAAAGCCGAAGCCGTAACCCCAGCCAGTGCCCAACACTCCACGAGTGAAATTTACCAGCTGGCGAGAACAAACAATTAAGACCACTACTGTGAATACAATCAACCCCGTAACTGATACGTCAAAATATCTAGAAAATATATACCACGCAACCAAACGTAAAGGTTAAGAAGAACATACCGCCTCGGAAACCCGGCGATTATTTCATTCATTTTTGATCTCAAAGAAAGTCATATGATGATGCATTTCATCAAAATCAGGCTGACATCGAACCATATTACACACGCAAAAGAAAACAAAAAAAAAAATAGAAGAAAAAGGCAACATTATCAAGAATTTCAACCTACGCGACAAAGCCTCTGCTAAGCCCATCCGCATTCCCGTTTAGCTTGCCTTTTCGGTACTTTACTTCAAAATTATACCGCTGTAGAGCTAAGCTCCATCTCAGAAGACGCCCATTCTTTGCGGACATGTTATGGAGCCACGTGAGTGGGCAGTGGTCTGTCTCGAAAGTGAAGCGCGTACCTGTTCGACTCTTTCCTCAATATTAGGGATTGGGTAAGTCTGGTCCCGCGTTATGGCGTTTAGTTTTCGATAGTCCACACAGGGTCTAGGACTTTTCCCAGGAGTCTCTACCAGGATTACCGGGGAGGTGTAGTCGCTCTCCGCTGGTACGATGACCCCTAGCTCCAGCATTCGCTTTATTTCCTGATCTAGGATTTCTCTCTGCCTAGGAGAGACGCGATAAGGTCTGGAACGGATCGGAGTATCGGTCGTTAATTCGATGTCATGCTCCACTAGGCTGGTTCTCCCTGGTTTATCCGCAAAACAGTCACGAAACTCATTAACCAGCGCGTGGAGTTCGGCTACCTGTGTTGGATCTAACTCCGTCTCGCGTTCTACTCTCTCCAGCATTCGCTGGAGAGACTCACCTCCTGGCTCGTTACCGACCGCGGGAAAGTCTCCTTCGACTTCTTCGGGCATGTTTAGTGCTAGGTTGACTACTGCCTCCCGTTGTCGGTATGGTTTCATTAAGTTGCTGTGAAATATCCTGGCTTCCCTACGCCGGCCAGGCATCTTCACCGCATAGTTCGTATCAGACAACTTTCCAACTACCTCAGCTGGCCCCTCCCACTGAACTTCTAGTTTATTCTTCTTAGTGGGCCTGAGCAGCATGATCGCGTCCCCTACGGCGAACGTGCGACGTCTGGCTGTTCTGTCGTAATAGAGTTTGGCTTTCGTCTGCGCGGCTTTCATGTTAGCCTCTACTAACTCTCTAGTGCTGTGCATGCGATCAAGGAGCTCTAAAACGTAGGCCACTACCGTCACCTGCTCGCCCTCGCCTTCCCATGCCTCACGTAACATTCGGAGGGGAGACCTCAGGGATCGCCCGTACACCAGCTCAGCGGGATTAAACCCAGTAGTTTCATGCGGGACCGTCCGCAGAGCAAACATCGTTGCAGGCAGACAGGCTTCCCAGTCTTTCTTATGCTCGTAACAGAGCGCGCGTTGAACGCGTTTGAGAACTGAGTGCCATTTTTCAACGCTGTTGCTCTGAGGGTGGTAAACCGAGCTGTGAACTACGCGAATTCCGCATTTTTCTAGAAAGGTCGTGGTCAGGGCGCTAGTAAAAACGCTCCCTTGGTCGCTTTGCACCTCTGCCGGAAATCCTATCCGAGCAAACACCAACAGAAGCGCGTCAACTACCCCGGCGGAACTAAGCTCTTTTAAGGGAATTGCTTCCGGAAACTTAGTCGCGGGGCAAAGCATGGTTAAGATGTACCGGTATCCCGAATCGGTCACCGGAAGCGGTCCCACAACGTCAATCACCAGACGTCGGAACGGTTCGGTGATTAGTGGTACCAGCTTCAGTGGCGCCTTTTGCTTGTCATTTGGCTTTCCAACGCGTTGACAGGCATCGCACGAGCGCGCAAACTCTTCTACCTCCTTGAAGCAACCCGGCCAGTAAAATTCCTGTAGCAATTGTGCCTTGGTTTTCTTTACGCCTAAGTGACACAACCAAGAGCTACCATGCGAAAGACAGAGAAGGTCCCTGCGATACTTTGTCGGAACTACTAGCTGGTCATAACTGACCCCTTTGCGATCCCTGTACTGTCGGTAAACCACGCCAGAACGAGTGTGGAACGAAACGTTCCGCTTAGCCACTCCCTCCCTTTGAGTGTGGTTCGTCATGTTACCCAGGGTGGGGTCACTCGCCTGTTCGGCCGCTAAAGTGTCTCTGTCCACCTCCACCAGGCTCCGAAAACTCGATGAGTGAGGCGAGAGAAAATGTCCCTCTTCCTGCGGAGTTGATCTATCTACTTGTTCCTGATCCTCAGCCGGATCACTCCCACTGTCACTGCTCTCTCTGGGCGCAACTTCAATCACTTCAGGGATCTCGGTGGAGTCACAAGTAGTTGACCCATTGCGCTTTTCGTCCCGACTGCCCTCACTACCGTGTTCGGTCGACTGCTTAGCTGCGAGCTCGCGCACCTTGGAACGTGTCAAAGCCTGGACAACTCCTTCCCCAAATCTTAGGCCCGTTTCTCTCAGAAGCTGATCGGATTTGTTTGAAAAGAGGTAAGGGTACCTCTCGGGCAGGGACTTTGATACCGCGGCTTCTACTTCTATTTCCCCGAAAGGCCCCTCCACTTTGACCTTGGCAATCGGCAGACATACGCTGTTCTCCTCAACGACCTGTCTAATCCAGGCGCACTCGCCTGTAAAGTCAGATGGACTTACGTAGGACGGATGAATCACGTCCATTGTAGCGGGTGAGTCACGGAGAACTTTGCAAGGTTTACCGTTCACCACCAAGTCGTGCATGTAGGGCTCTAAGAGACGCATGTTCTCATCGTCTTCACTTACGAAAGAAAACACCACTCGTGGTTACGGCACCCGGCAGCGAAGTGCCCCGGCTCGTGACACCTAAAGCATACTGAAGGTTTTCGGGACTCGAACGCCTTCCCGTGCCCTTTCTCCTCAGGTTTCTTTCCTCCGTTTTCGCCCTCCTTCGCCGCCCCATCTGCGTTACCGTTGTGGCTACCCTTCTCTTTCCCTTGCCGTAACCTGTCCTTAAAGGGACCATGAAATGATTTTAAAATCGAATTTCATCCACCGCACGTCGTAAAAGGTGTGAAAAGGAACACAAAAACACAAGACTAGGGAGCCAAAAAAAATTATTTGCTATAGAACTTTTAAAAGAAAACTGGACTCTTTTGCGACTTCTTTCCTTCGAAAGCTCTGCCTTTTCACTACGATGCATACGCAGAATCGGTGCACGTCAGCCGAATCCACATCGCCTATTGGGTAAGAGCCTACCTCACCAGCACCGCGATCGTTAACAATAAATAGCCGGCGAATGTTTCCTAAAAGTTTTGTTAAATAATATTTAGATCCACATTTTGTAGCATAATTAGAGATGTGTGGCGAAAATTGCCAAATTTTGAGAATGCTGAGAGCCAAGCGCCATCTATCGTGTGGTAAACGAAGCAACTACTGCGCGTGCGCAGTAGGGCAGGGCCAAGTTCAGAACGGTTATTTCCTTTGGTTTCCTTCCTCTCAAAACTCTGACTGACTGAACGTTTATTTTTCTACGTGTTCATCTCGCGCGTGCCGACTTCAAGCAGCAAGAAAGAAATGTACTTAAAACAAACCACGACGAACAAGAACGCTGGATCCACAAACACCCGAGAAGAGCGACAACAGCCGCGAATCCCGCTCCGACGAAACTCTCAGAATATAGGCCTAGCAGGCACTCCGACTCGGCGCAGCGTTGCTTCGTCGCAAGACCGTCTGCCTACGACCGGCTGGCGTACTGAATGGAATATGCCCGCGCTACCCTTGTGGACCCTTCCGTATTATAGTTTGATCGCTGACCTCAATTTTAGGTTAAGAGGTGAGGTCAATCTCTTCCCCTTGTTTTCCGAGGCAGTGTTGACGAACACTCGTCGAAAAGGGACCCTCGTCGATCCTCTCCTTGTTTTGTGTGATATAGAGCTGAAATAAACGCTGTATGGATTACCTTCGTAGCACGGTATGTACACTTTGTTATTGGTATGCCATTTTTATTCTGACAGACTGCACGTCACTATCGAGCTGTAACAGTTCGTGGGAGGTATACGTGCAATACCGGTCCAACCTTTCTTTGCCGAGTGTCGCGTCAGTATCGAGTTGCAATTGTAAAAGATCGGTCCCGAAGCGCTTACCAACAGCGCGAATACAGCACTTCATCAAACGCGCGCGTCCGCTCCGAGTGTGAACAGGTATTTACGTGGCTCTTGCTGACAGTTCAAACGTATCTTTTTTAACGTCGGCTCGCTCCTGCATCTCCGAGACCGCGAAAAACGCCGCGGCAAATTGTTCCCATCTGCAATTCCCAACAGGCATACCGGCGTATGGGACTAGTCCCATGCTGTCGCTATAGCGCAACGTATCTCATTGAATTTCGTTCAGCTGCGATGCGGCGATGAGAGGCGCCGATTCAGAAAATACGTCGGTGACATCGGCGCAGTAAAACCCACCGGCGCACCCCAACTCGCTAACGCTCCCATCTCCTACTGCAGAGAGAACTTCCGGTTCCGGAAACATCGTACGTCACGGCTTGTTTTGCGGTCAAGAAAAAGTCGATATTTCATTAATTTTTTGTGTAGAAGTTAATAAACCGAGACGAAAACGGATGCCTGTTCGGCATTCAGTGAACATTGACGCTTTATTGTAAAAGTTATGTGGAAAAAGTAAAAAAGTCATTTCATGGTCCCTTTAAACCCCGCACCGATCCCTTTCGAGGAGTCTCTGTGCTGGCGACCGCGCCATTCGGGAAGCACGCCACGACGAGAGCTGAACTCTTCAGCGAGTTCCGCCGCTCGCTGTACCGTCTTCACGTCAGGCCGGTCCTGCACCCAGTAGCGGGTTTCTTCGGGCAAGGTACTAAAAAACTGTTCCAGACAGACGCACTCTACCACCTTGTCATGGTCCCCAAAAACCTCGGAACCCTTTAGCCATTCCTCTAAGTTCGACTTCAGGCTGTACGCGAACTCAGGATAATACTCGCTGGTCTTCTTCCTTACTTCGCGGAATCGCTTGCGAAAAGCGTCGGCGGACAACCTGTACTTTCTGAGGAGGCCCGATTTTACTTTTGTGTAGTCCTCCGAGTCTTCCCTACTCAGCCTGGCTACCACGTCCGCCGCCTCACACGGCAACAACGTCAAGAGGCGCTGAGGCCACGACTCCCGAGAGAAACTTGCCTTTTCGCAAGCCCTCTCAAAATTGACGAGGAATAGGCCTATATCCTCACCAACCTTGTAGGGCTGCAAAAGATTCTTCATTTTCCAGCCCTGCTGCCCCACTGCACTTGGTTTCCCAGTTGCCCGTGCATGCTCGAGGTCGATCCTGGCCTTCTCGATTGCTCTCTCCTCGGACTCTTTCTGCGCCTTTTCTCTTTCCACGCGTTTCCTTTCTTCCTCTTGCTCTCTTTTCTCGCGTTCCTGAATAAACTCCCAACACTCCTGCAGTTCGTCTCCGTCAGCACCCGACCGATGAATAGCATCCATAATTTGAGGCTTTCTTTTCAGGCCCGCAATGTCGATCCCCAACTCTAGGCAAATTGCGTCTAGATCTGGTTTGCGTAGTGCCTTAAGATCCATGATACCTGACGTGTAAGTCACTTTTCCTATCACACACCTGGAAGTAGCCCTTTTCTTTCTTCCAGGTAGACGTTCAGAACCAGATTAAATATTACTCTTTGACATCCAAATCCTGGTAAATCTCAAAGAAAAAGTGTCGAACACTCACCGGTGCCGCAGCCCGAACTCCGCAGGTTCCGTGCCGTCGCTCCCATCAGGTCTCTTCCGCGGCTTGGAGTCGAATCGTACCGCTGCCATCCAGTTGTTGTGACTCGGGACTTGTCCATGTAGTCGATCTCCGCTGGAGCCATGCGTCGCCCAGGACATCGGGCAGAGTTGGTAGCGAGCCAGGGTGTCTCTTCTCAAACTGTTTATTTACATTCTATGTACAGTCTGCCGTACGGCATGAGAACAACGTGAGAACACACCGAGAGCGCGTAAAACCGCTTTTTTTATAAGGTACCCCTTCCCTACGTCTCTAGTCCAGGACGCCGCTCCCCAACTGGTCAGGCCCCGCCCACTTGCACGCACAAGCGCACAGCGTAGTAGCGGCCGGACATCACATCCCGGCGCTGAGTCACTCCCGCCCTCGAATGCCGCGCCGAGGAGGCGACAACAAAGGGTCCACTCTCCGCCTGGGAGACGACGCTGGCCGAGGTGGTGCCGATATCTCCATTAGGCGGCTTTGTGGCACGAAAAGGGTTGGGCCGGAACAACCGCAAGTGGCGTCCGAAGATGATCCGTGCTGAACACACCCTCACGGAGGTCCCGCAGCTGGCGCACCGTCATCCGGAATCTTCGCACAATAATCCCCGGTTCCTGCGTCGGGTGACCCTGTTTCGGGCCAGTGTAATCCCCGCCAGAAGTAAGGGTCCGGCCCAGCTTCGCGCCTAGGTGTGGCGGCATCAACACGGTGGTCCTCCGTCGAAAGCCATCCCTTTGTCGCCGCTCGCTTCGTTTCCGGGCTCAATCTCAACTGACCGGAACCATATGGCGACGATTCTCAAGGGGGTTCCCCAGTGCCGGGTGGTTTAGATCGAGAGGGTCTGGTCCGGGGCCATTCATAACAACGCGCGCGCACAGACTGAGATCTGGGAGCGGAAGCGACTCCTATAACTCGCAGAGCTCTGATAACTCGTTGGCTCGGGCGCCGTCGAAAGATGATCAGGTATTGTTTTCTTATAGTTCGAGGCGCGTTGTTTAGCAGGCAGCCAACCCTGCTGACTTCCACGTTTATTCTTGCGCACTCCTTTGAAGTGCGAAATGTGGGTTTGCTTCGGCATCAAAACAAAGAGAGATTCACTTCCCTCTTCTCCTCTTGAGCTTTGCTCCGAGGCTTGTTTTTTTTTTATATACTGCATTTGTAGTTTAGGTCCGCCTATTACTTGGTCTTTGTTCCGATGCTTGTTTTCTGTGTTATATATTTTAGTGGGTTGGGGTTACAAGCAAGCTAGCGGATTCCCGCTCATTTCCTTTGACTTTTTATTCTCTGCATACTTCGTTTCACCTTGCGATGGACCGCTGTGGACGCTACGAATCACCCTAGGCAATCCAGTACCGCGAGCGGGACTGCAGGGTCACGCGACACTCAGAAAGCACTTTCGATAGCTCTCGTGCCGTTTGTTGAGGCAATGGTTGAGGTCCATCATAAGGTGAAGTAGACTATCTTCACCGCTCTTGGTGTGACCGAACTGACTAGACCTGCAGAAAGATCGTCCCGTGCCAGACGAGGCGCGACCGATGCTGTGAGGGCAACTGAGAAGGAATGCTGGGTGATAGCTGCCACTGAGGTTTTGGCTTCCTCGCGTATCGGGCTGTCCCGTCTGCATTCGTGCTCCTTGTCCTGGACCCTATTTGAGGCGGTGAGAAGTCAGTTGGACGGTGTTGTTGAGAAAACACGGGGAATGTCAATTCGAACGGTGCGGTATTACCGCGTTAATTGTATCTTGATGTGAAGAGCTTTGTCAACGCTGACTTCCCGACCCGTCGCCACAACGCGAACAACCGACACCGAGGTAGAAGAATGAATTGGTTGGTACCGCCTGCTGCCTGAACCCGCCACTCGATCAGCGCGAAGAGGAACATCACAATTCGGTCGAGAAGACAAGATAAATACAGATCGAGTCATGGCATCGTAGAAGACATTTTTCTACATTAGTCGCGAAGAAAATAAACAAGCTGCACGCTGAAAGTTCTGCAACGAAATTATACACGGTGCAGTCGGCGTATATCATCGAACTTTATTCGCCATCGAAAGAGGAAACATGAGAAGTATGCGAAGGGTGGAAAAGGCCAGGCAAACCAGCCGAAAAATTGAATTGAATATGATAAGAAATATCGAGATTCGTAAAGCAAACGTGAACTTGTGCGTTTTAAAACAGGTTTCGTGACATGGTCTACACGGTCCCTCGTGCTGCACCGCAGAGGTTGCATTTTGTCAGAGGATGTGTTCTTGCCGCTGTGCATGGAGTCGCTTCCAGCAGTGTACTAGCCGTGTTGCTGTGCAGGTATTTAAAGAATACATTAATATAGCTTATTTCTGCGCCAGGCACGAACTGGATATTTTTATGCTCTTATCAAGCAAACACGCTGGCCGTACGTGTATGTCCTAGAAGACAAATGGCAAAAAGTTTGCAAAAAAAAAAAATTAGTGTATTTAAGTTTTGTTGTCTGTTACGAGCCACGTGGTCGCGAGACTGATGTCTTAAACGAGCATCGACATATCAAGGGGTTTTCTCGATGTTTGCAGTACATTTTAAATAAACACTTTCTGCCACCAGCGGTCCGCTTAGTAAAAATCGGTGCTTTTTTGAGGAATTTAGCATTTTTTTTTTTTGCAATTGTCTCTGCATTTGATAATGTCAGCTTTATGCTGCTTATGCCGGCAACAAAATGTAGCTGTCAAGTGCCAATTTTTATGTTTAGGAATTAAAAGAATGGAATGGAACGATTCAGCCATTCCAGGAGTGGGAATGGGCTCAGTGTTTCCATTCCTAAGAATTGAAGGGAATTGAATTATCGAAAACTCTAATTCCCCGGAATGGAATTGGAATGGAATGGGGGTGCCCATTCCGCAACACTGATATATACTATAGCTTCATTAGTAATCGGTGCTCTTTAATTAACTATTCGATTAATCGGTTCAGTTGCTCTTCAAGTATAAAATCTCAGAAAAGCCTACGGACTTTTTTATTTTTACTTTTTTATATGATAAAGTTCCTTTTCCAGTGAATTATTTTTCATTATTTAGTATATAAAAAACTTAGTACTGCCTTCTAAAATAAATAGATGCGCAGGTAAGACACCGGGGCCAGCTTGCTGAAATCAGTGTCTCAGCTCAGACTGGGTGAAAGAAAGCACTGTAAAGGCTGGAACGCGCGAGCGTCTTCAGTCGAGGTTTGAGTCCCGTTCAGCTCGTACGCTGGCTTTGACAGTGCTTTCTCTTCCCCCGTCTCGGCTGAGACGCTGTTTCTAGCAAGACGGCCCAGGCGCTTACTATTGTTTGGTTCGTCCGACTTGTCCTTACTCAAAGCTCGATCGATCTAGATTCAGATATTTATAGTGATTAAAAAAAAAATTCGAATGGTACGAAGGTTATTTTATCAATTGCTTAGCTTTAATCTTGCAACATCATGGCGTCCCTTAACCTTTCATCTAGCTTTAAGAAGTTTTAAGAATTATAATCTCGCCATCTAAGATCACACCGATATTTCTACTGGTAAGAACATGACAGTTGAACAAAATTTTATGCTTGAATCAATCAAGAATTCAAAAAAAAAATTACGCATATGAAATAGCTTGCCGTGTAAAGAAAATTAGTGGCAATTACACTCGCAGAGCGCGGTGACATAGCTGACACTCAACTTGCACCCAACAAGCCGAACCTTGTCAAATAAGCACTACCCAACGATTTGTGGTATTCGGCTTTGGACATACCTGGAGGACTTTTTACTGCAGCACACATCTTCCGCCAAAATGACAGCCGTATTTTAACAAGAAAAATGAAATAAAAAAAAACTTCGAGCACAGAAATAACCAATCAGAACGTCTCTCGCGGTCTATTAGAATAAAAAGCACTACAAATAGCGCTGTACAGGGCTTTTCGGGCCGATCGCTGTGGATTCCGCGTTGAACTCGTCGGAGATCCCTGGCACAAGAGTCCGACACGGTTCAAATTCATCGGAAAGTGACAAAACGTACATTGCGTAGCAAGAATACCCATCCCCAATAATCAAGAGGACCTCTCCTTGTCACTCACATGGAAGAGAAAGCGGTCCGTGGTGTCTTCGGTCGGTCGAACCTAGTGGTCACATGTATGCCCACAACAAAGGAAGATCACCGGTATGTAGGCGCTGCCGAAAGAATATCCATGGTCTTGGCAATCCGCATGTTGAAGATCGCACTTGGCACTAAGACGAAATGCGCTGCTGGTGATAGGAACTCTAGAACCACCGTCCTTGCCCATGGATGGCGGAGATGCCGAGCCGCTTCGCCCGATAAAAGCAGTCTGCTAAGCAATCAAATGCACTCGGACAACCTGGAAACGGACCCACGGTGTCCTGGTATCAGCATGATTATCTTGCCATTCTTGTTCCTTCGAGAAAAAAGCTATTTCTGCCAAAAAATAAAATAAAATAAAATAAAATAAAAATAAAAAAAAACATGCATAATTTGAGAAGCGCACCTGCCCACTTGCAGTTCGCGGATGCGCGTGTTGGAAATTGAGGAGACCGTCCCCACCGCCTTCCAGTCGTTGCCTTATCGTGTGGCCTTGGTGGTCGCGATCCCACTTTCTGTGCGCTTGTGTGTCCGTATGTGCGCGTGTGCGTGTGTTTCGCGGTTTGGACTCCATCACCCCTAAGCTGAGAGTGCAGAGGAAGCTAAAAAGTTCGGTGAACCAATCTCAGGTTTATTTTTATTCCCGTGATCACACTCTCTCCTATATGCACGCGCAGAGAGCGGTGCAGGTGATGACTGGTCCGGCCGGCGCGTAGCTTCCCCGGCACTGTCAGCTTAGGAATGCGCAGTTTCCTCCTTTCTCAAGGTCGTCGAGTCCACTTCACCCACAAAGGAGAGATTAGTGACGGCGTGGGGAAAATGGGAGGAGAAGCCGTTCAG